AAACAAAACACAGCTAATGTGAGAGGATTAAAAACAAACAAATGCTTCCATATTTTTGATGCATGTTCCTGTGTTTACTGTTTTGACTTGCGTTTTCAAGTTGTGCAATTTAAGCTAGTAAATATTTCCACTACTTTGGTGAAATTTTAGAGCTACAGGTATGAGGGAGCTATAACTCACAGGCATAGCAAATCACATGTTCTGAGGTATTTTCAGCACTTATAATCAGGTGTCGTCTCTCTCTACAGTTTATCGTGCCAGCGCTGGTCCTGCTCTCGGGTTCACTCTGTGGTGCCTCAGTGGGGATCCTGTTCCCACTTTGACACCGAGACCGGTAACCGGAGAGATCCTCAAATGTCCCAAGTGTCCACCGGGCACGTTCATGTCTGCTCATTGCACTGCCACCACACCCACACAGTCACCGTGCAAAAATGGCCACTTCACCGATCTGTGGAACTACCTGCCCAGGTGTCTGTACTGCAGCAACCTTTGCACAGGTAACCTGGAGGTGGAAACAGAGTGCTCCCCGACAACCAACAGGATCTGTCGGTGCAAAGAAGTTTTACTCGCTGATGACTTCTGTATCAGGCACACAGAGTGTGGCCCCGGATACGGGGTTCAAACTAAAGGTACAGTATTCATTTATTAAATGTGAACTACTAAACCATCCCTCTGTTTTCTTCTGTTTATCCATAACATCAGTTGTCTAACTCACTTTACACTTCCAATGAATGTAGTGACCTGAAGTCCTCTGTTGTCCTCTCTTAGGTACACAGCAGACAAACACCGTTTGTGAAAAGTGTTCCAGAGGATATTTTTCCAGCTCATCTTCTGCAGTGGATTTGTGTGTAAAACATCAGGAGTGCTCCAGCGGGCAGAGCGTACTCCTCACTGGCTCAGCCTATTCTGACACCGTGTGTGGCACCTGTGAGAGTCTTGCAAAACGGAGGTATTTTTAATGTTATTACCCAAAAACAAAATATTTTTTAATGCAACCAAATTTACAAAGTTATTTCAAACTTTCTCAGGTGAGACTCTCAGGACATTCCTCTCAGGATTCTTCCATGCACACAGGATGCGTGTAGGAAAAATCAAGAAGTTTGTTTCCAAGTGAGCACACTCTTTGTCTGTTTGATTATTCTCCAGCACTCCTTCACCTCTAAATTCAAAAAAGATGCCAATTAAACCATTGTCTCCTTGCAACAGATACATCCTTACCTCGTCGAAAGAGAGGTGCAGTCTCCCCAAACAGAGAGAGCCTCTCATGGATCACATCATAGACTGGCTGGCAAAGGCTCCGGAGGAAAAGCTGAGGAAGATTCCCGACATGCTAACAGCTTCAGATCTTAACTCCATGGCAGAAAAACTAAAGAAGAGACTCCATGAGATTAAGCAGCAGAACCCAAACTGCAGCTTAACAATAGATGAAGTAAACAATGCTCTCTAGTCTGCAGTCCGTTACACATTGAAAATTTTTTATAAGTGTTATAAGAGGATATTTTTACACCATTCTCCATTTTATTGGCGTACACGCATTGTAATAAAGGTAGACAAATGTTAAAACAAATAATATTATTTTTATACATTGAGGCTTCTGATTAGAAGACACATGACTCCATTACAGAAGAGTTGTGAATTATTCCTATGAAATAAGGGCCACAATGAACAAGCTATTAAATACATATATTCACATTGCACAGCTGTTTTTGTAAACATTGTTAAGAGCTTAAGGGTGGAAAATAAAACAACAACAACAACTAGGAATTCCACACAAAAAAAACTGAAATATGAAAATATTTTAACATGTGATGTTATTTAAAGTTTTAAATAAAAGGATTTTTATAAGATTGTGTGAATGTCATTCAAACTGAAATATTTTACCTGCCAAGTGTAAAAAACCAAACAAGTATCGCGCACATTGTAACCTAAAGTCACAACCTCCTGTATCGCCTCCTCCCTTATGACCTTCCTATGAATGAACTATTTCAAACAAGTGAAAATGTAGCTCGTCTTTCTTGTTATCATGATCCTGGAGTAAAACACATACTTTGTAATTGTATTACAAGTACTACAGTTAGAGTGAGGAACTGTTAGAGATCCAACACGTTCTCACTCCCAAAGTGTAACAGTCGTGGATATAACAATAGGACAATTTCATGAATTAATCATTGCATAAGCACATTATTAAACTCATTGTAATTATAACTGCATTAATTATTTGATCATTTTACTTGACAATAAAATGAAGAATTGGCAGCGATTTCAGCCTAATGTCAAGAGAACTTAGAATGCATTGCTCATCAAAGTTTTGTTAAAGTATAATAATGTACTGTTTTAAAGGATCCTTTTAAACTCACAAAAATACAGTATTGTTTGAGTATTTTGCCCCCTTCCTGTCAGTAATATTAGACCAAGATAACCTGAATAAATTCAAAATGAAGTATTCCAATGATCATTTCATTCATTAAGGGAGAAAAGCTATCCACTACGGAAGCGTGATATACATAATTATCACGTTCGTACAATATAATAATACAATATAATATTTATATTGTACGAACGTGATAATTATGTATATTGTAATAACGTGATATTATGTTGTTCAAACGTGAAAAGTATATTGTACAAACAGGAAAAGTATCTTGTTAGAACAATAAACTTTTCACGTTATAACGTGATACACTTGTATTTTTCTTTTGCCTGGGTGGCAGCTCTACGCTTCCGTAATCCACACCTGCCCCTCTGTGAAAAAGTATTTCCCTCTAAAACTGCTTGTGCCACCCTTTGCAGCAAGTAGTGCAATCGAGCGTTTGTGATAATTGGCAGATGTGGGAGGCAGTGTTGGTCAAGTTACTTGAAAAAGTAATCAGTAACTAATTACTAATTACTTCCCCCAAAAAGTAATCCCGTTACTTTACTGATTACTTATTTTCAAAAGTAATTAATTACTTAGCTACTTAGTTACTTTTTAAAAACACGATTTACAACCTGAATAGGTGATAAAGTGATAGATCTTTCAGCCCAATTCTACTTTTTCTACACAATCCATCATACAAAATGTAATCAAATGAAAAAGTCCCTTTTTAAAACTTGTTTTATTAGTTTTAATCTTTAAACTTTATGCATCAAGCAAAAATTAATTATATGCAACATTCTCTGACTGGAAGAAATTTGTTTAATATCTAAACTTATTTTCTGCACATTCCAGCACATAAAATATATATTTTTTGTGTTTACACTCAGTCTTTCAAATAGATGCAAGTAAAACACAGCAGAAAATAAATAAAGTCAAAGATTAGCGGTCCTTTTGCTCTATTTTCACCTGTAAGGCGGGAGTAAGGTAGGCGGAGGTTTACCCTGGTGCAGGTGTGCCGCAGCAGTCAGTGGAAGAATCCGCGAGTTCTCTGTGAATTTCCCATCACGTCGTAGCTACTCGGTGCTTGCTTGGAAGTTTAGGGGTTTTTTTTCGCTGTAAAAAGAAGTTTTCTTCCCACGCACAACGGACGCTAATGTTTTTGTCACTTTTTATGCAATCAAACTCAAAGTAAGGTCAGTACTTCCACGCTTTAAACACTGCACGCTCATACTCTCTCCCACAATCGATATGTGATCCATTGTTGAACTGCACACAGCTGTTGTCACCAACGTCGCACTTGCTTACGTAACTGTCGTGAGACATTCTCGCAAAAAAATCAGTAACGCAGTAATGCAGCGTTCCTACGGGAAAGTAACGGTAATCTAATTACCGTTTTTGCAATAGTAATCCCTTACTTTACTCGTTACTTGAAAAAAGTAATCGGATTACACGTTACTGCCCCTCTGGTGGGAGGTGTGTAGTCATAAACCCTGCAACTGTCCATCAACACAAAGAGACAGAAAACAAAAGTTCGTTCAGTGCTTGTGTAACAGGGTCATAAATCACATTGTTATAATTACCCAAAATGTGTTCTAAACCCCCAAACCGTTCCTTTTATACCTGACTTTCAGGACCTCCAAGCCTGTAGTTATGTTCATTATCAGTTAGAGCCCCTCCTCATTCTTTTCTTCTTCTTCTTTGGTGCAATCCTATAAATACAGTGTACCCCTTTTGCCTCTCCCCTTTTCTACAATTCCCCTGTGGGAGAGGAGCTGGAGTGGGCAAATTATTTACTTGGAGGTCTTTCTTTCTTTTACCTTTTTTATCAGACACAACACAGAATCACACCGATTACACTTGACTGCAGGATTTGTGCTGCAGCCCTGACCTGTAAGAGGGTTTACGTTCCTCCTTAGCGTTATGCGCCATCTAGTGGCAACTTTAAGTAAACACCTGATATAGTAACAAGTGGAGGTGGCAAAAGTACAGACATTGTGTCCTTATGAATCAGAATCAGAATACTTTATTAGTCCCTAAGGAAATGATGCTGTAAGTAGGTAGGTGTGCCGATACCCTGTTTGTATTTCTGCCATCCAAAACTTATTTCTTTATCAAGAGAATAGAATAATCCTTTAATTGTCCCACAAGGGGAAATTTGGTTGTAACAGCAGCCAGAAAGACACATATACAAACAAACAGTACACAGGACACAGATCAGAAACATACACAATTTTTCTTACATATTTACATTAAGGACAATGGTTACTATAAACAGAGTGCTGTACGGTTATTAAATTAAATAAAAATAACTACAGATAAGAGGCAAACCAGGTTGTAGTACGAATCGTTTGATTAAATTATTGCAGTTACAGCGCAGATGCAAACATCTATGTTTGTTGGGAGCAGTTCTGATTGTACAGTCTGACAGCTGCAGGGAGGAAGGACCTGTGGAAACGCTCCTTCATGCATCGAGGATGCAGCAGTCTCTCACTGAAGGAGCTCTGCAGTTCAGCAACATTTACATGCATGGAGTGGGAGACTCTCCATCAGAGATGTTATTTTGGCCAGAGTCCTTCTGTCTCCCACCACCTGCACTGGGTCCAGGTGCATCCCAGAACAGAGCTGGCCTTCCTGATGAGTTTATCCAACCTCTTCCTCTCAGCTGCCGATAAACTGCTGCTCCAACATACAACACTGTAAAAAATGACAGATGCCACCACAGAGTCATAGAAGGTCTTTAAAAGCGCTCCCTGGACTCCAAATGACCTCAGCCGCCTCAGCAGGTAGAGTCTGCTCTGGCCCTTCCTGTAAAGAGCATCAGTGTTGTGGCTCCAGTCCAGTTTATTATTCAGGTGAACACCCAGGTACCTATAAGAGTCCACTATCTCAATGTCCACTCCCTGGATGTTCACCGGTGTCAGTGTGGTGGGTCTGCGTCTCCGGAAGTCCACCACCAACTCCTTGGTTTTCCCGGTTGATCAGCAGGTGGTTCTGCTGACACCAGTCCACAAAGTCCAGAGTCCACTGTCTGTACTCTGAGTCGTCCTCACCTGTGATGAGGCCAACTATGGCAGAGTCGTCAGAGAACTTCTGTAGGTGGCAGCGTGGGGAGTTGATGGAGAAGTCTGCAGTGTAGAGGGTGAAGAGGAACGGTGCCAGCATAGTTCCCTGTGGGGCCCCCGTACTGCAGACCAGCATATCAGAGACACAGCCCTGTGTCCTCACATAATGTGGACGTTCTGTGAGGTAGTCCAGTATCCACTGGGACATGTGGTGGTCCACTCCCGATAGCTCCAGCTTGTCTCTCAGAAGTCGTGGCTGGATGGTGTTAAAAGCACTGGAGAAATCAAAAAACATGATCCTCACAGTGCTTCCAGGCTTCTCCAGGTGAGTCAGAGCTCGGTGCAGGAGGAAACAATAGCCACTTTGGACAAAATAACTCATCTCAGCTTAGGGGCATCTGGTGTGTCAAATGTTCATTAGAAATTCATACAAGCCTTTCTTTAAAGGTATCTATTTATTAGGGGTGCAACGATACACAAAATTCACGGTTCGGTTCGTTTCGATACTTTGGTGTCACGGTTCGATATTTTTTCGATACAAAAAGATTTTTCATGCCTTTTTAATTTGTCATTTATTAAAATTATAAATATATATTTTAACTCAAAAGTACAGTTTTTAAATTTAACCCTAACCCTTGTGCGTGTTTTTTATTTTGACAGCGAATGCGCACCTGCGGACCACTTATGTGCAGCCCTGGTTATTTAGCTCGTCATATAGGAGCCACAGAAATTATTTTGTCCATGAAACCATAAAGCTGCACTTTCTTTTTGCCTTATAGTCTGATTTGTCATAACTTCTCCGTTTTATGGTAAGCTTTTCTTTGGCTGTCACTTCTTCACCCTGACCTGTCTTATTTGGCTCAGCAGAACTAAAATATATATCTGTCTGTGAAGGTTCTCAGTCATCCAGGTCATCGTAGTCAAATATAAATCCTGCTGCTTTTACACACGCACTCACATAAGCTCAGCGATTTTCTGCGCGATCAACCTCTCACATGTTTAAGCTTGCTGCGGGAGATTTCACTTGT